TCCAGAGTTAAAGAATCTCTCATTACATACTGAGAGGCATAAACATAGTCAAAGTAGCATTTTATATGTGTGGAAGGATTTGCACTGATACCCTTTACGACCCCAGCTGTTACACCCTGATGCTGAGAACCTACCCTGTAAAACTTGTTACTGATTTACCTAAAAAGCACTCTAACTACAAGAAGTCTGACTTGCAATACATTTGTCACCTCAATAGTCAGGACTTTTCAGAAAGTTTCCTTGCACATTTGGGCACCTGTGACACTTTCATAGCTGGCACTTGCAGCCCAAAAGCTGTAGCTGAAAGTTTATTTGTAGACTGCAAATGTCTGTTGTAACAGAATACAAATCTGTTGCTCATTTTGCAGCTGAACTTGCAAAAACAGATAAAAGCTAAAGCAAGGAGTTCTACTGATATCCAGAGAGCTCTGGATTATCTGTATAAAATCAGTTGAGTAAAAAGGTGTCAATATTTCCATTTATCTTAATTAATGACCTAGGTTACTGAATATACTGGAGGTTACACATTTCAGCCTATATATATGACCTGTATCGGTAGTAGGAAACCAACATTCTTTCCCTGACTTCTCCTTCAATCTTCTGGTCAATGACCAGCAGCATGACTCCATATAAGTACAGGGCTTCACACTGTTTGGAAAGAGAAAGAATGAAGAAAGAAAATCACATAAGCATGATTTTGCAGCAACATTTAAAGAAAAAATTGTATTGGCGAATTAACCCAATGTCAAAAACGTAGTCAACACAACATGAAAAATGGCAGGCTGAGGATTTTTCCTCTTTGTCCTTCTTGAAGTGAGTCACACCACTTCCACGCATTTGGGAAAATTACATTTTTGTCTAGTCTGGCACTTGCTGAGTGGGTTAATTTTCTACCATTATAAAACTAGTCAATACTCACTAGAAGCTGTTTTCCATCTTCATTAAGGAGGACGGTTTCTAATGTTTGCTGAATGTAAATTCCTTCATTGAGGTCATCTAAGTATCTAGGAATCATGAGAAAAACTTTGGTCATTGACTATTTTGCTCTCAAACTAGAACTCAATCAGTGACATTTTCTCTGAAAGCCAACAGATGCATCAGAACATTTCCCTAGTACAAGAAGCATGGTGTTTTTCAGACAAAATGAAGAGAGGCTCTCCTAAAAAATGAGAGACTGGAACCCCTAGCTAGTGCCAACCAGTTGGCAAAAGTTTCCTTCCATATCCTGATGGTGCATGTGAAAGACACTGAAGAATACCCGACAGCTTACAGCTCATCCTCTTAATCTGGTCATGGGTGGATACAGCCTGGGAAGGCTGCTATGCAATAATGTAGTAAAATTGTCATATTTTCAAGTTACCTAAGTAAACCTCCTGGAAAAACCATAAATTGATCTCAATTGCAATTTGGAAGACAGAGCTAGAAATAGAGTATGTTCACCTGAATTAACAGAAGATTTATTCCTATTAAAGGATTTTCTACTAACGCGACTTAATAAGCAATATCAAACATTTAATTTTTTCACATAACATTAATAATAAAGCCAACTCTCACGTTTAAGATCCTCAGTAACTTTTTCTTAGAGCATTTCATGAAGCTTTAATTTTGCTTTTTACATGTCAGAGTAATAAGCTTGAGAATATGGCATCTTCACTAAAAGATTAAGTTCAAGAAAATAATGCCAATGAAAATTTAAAAAAAACCTCAAACTACCTGACATTCTGTTTTGCAAGACCAAATAAAATAGCTTAATAATATGGATTCTCCTTTTATTTAAAAAAAAATCTTCAGGACAATCTCTAAGATAAAGAAAAACGAACTCATATTTACAGTTAAGGAAATGAGGTAGAGAGGTTAAATGTTTTCAAGTCATATATTAACCTGGTAGGGAACTGTTGGAGTAAAAGTTAGTGCTCACTTCAGCAACCCAGGTTTGCTGGTGCACATGAATATGCTTCAACAAGGAGTACATTGGGTCTCTAAGGAAAAAGCTTCTCATCAATAGGACAAAACAGAAATCTAGTCTTTAAGAATCCATATGTATTCAAGATACCATACCTGTTTAAATCTACAATGTATTTATGTACACTCTGAAAAGCTAAATAAAATCTTGTCAAAATTTCAATGTTGTTTTCACGAAATTCTTCATCTAAATCCAGTAACTCAGGCTTGGCTTCCAGTTTACCTTCACATATCTCAGGCCCCTGAAAAACAGAAAGTCACATTTAGAGACAATACTTGACTTGGATCTCTACTTGACTTCTCTACAGTAGGACACAGACCATGTACAACCACCCCTGTGTGCAAACCAGAGTTACCATTTCTTACCAAAACAAGGATCTGTAGTTTTCTAACCTAGTTTATGGCTAAATATTGATTCCATAAATATGAGTTTTACACATTGTTACAATCTGCAATGACTTTAAATATGATTTAGCCAATGGAAAAGAATAGTCAATGCTTTCAGTAAAGCCCCAGTATATCTGAAGGCACTGGGTACTTTCTATAGTGCTAAAGTTTAATTGGAAGTACTATTAAAATGCACTTGAAAATATCCAGCTGACAATTTGAGTTTTAAAAAATACTCTTCTGCTTCTCTTTCTGTGCAAAATATCTACATAAAACAAAGAATAAAAACAGGTGCCAAACTGCCTATGAAGTTAAAATGGACAAAGTAAATAGTTTCAACTTTTCAAATCTCAAATCTTTCCTCATTAAGTAATTCTAAGAATTGTGAATACAGAAGGTGTGCATTTGCAGTAAAAATATCTGCAAATTCTCTAATCTTTGCTTTAACAGTATGACTTCTATGGATTTATTTGATTTTAATGATGAAAAACAGCACACTTATTATGCTTTCTTAACATTCAAAATTACTGGGGCTTTAAGGATTACTATATTTCTTACCAATTACAGCTATCTGCTTTTAAATTTTCAAGTAATTTGTGTAAAAAAAAAAAAATTCTACCAAACACCTAGATCTAAAGGTAACAGTGAAATCATTTGTGCTTTTCAGTATCCAAACCTCACGGTGCCTGAAATTTACAACTCCTACTACAATAAAATTGACTTAAATTTTAGAAGTGCCTCCCTTGCTTTATTATTAACATTTCTTGTATTGGACAGTCCAAATAAAGTCAGATTAGATAGTCTCTGTTGTTCCTTCTTAATCATGGTGAAAAATGACAGAGAGAACTTTGTACTAAAAGCTTAATTCTGAAAGAGAAATAAGGGCTTTCCTTGGACACTTCTCCTTGACTTATTTATTTATTTATTAAGCGCATGTGACAAGTTCAGAGGAAGAACAATCACAGCACTGTCAGACAGGAAAGCAGAAAGCCGTTTTCATGGCTGCAAAGAATAAGCTACAGATTAACAGAAGAAAGATGGGCATGCTGCCCACGGCACTGCTCTGAAGGGAAACAAACAACCATGCAGCCTCAGAACCTGCTGGAGGAAGTTTAATTTAGTGGTCCTGCAGGAATTACTACCACTACCACTACTACTAGTGCCACTACTACTACCTCTCCAGAATCCAATACTCCCATTTTATATAATTGATATCTATCAAAATTCACAGGCCAGATGACACATCAAACATTTTGGAAGATGTAATAGTAATAAACACAATAGTCAGGAATGGCTGTTTTACAAGCCAAAACATCCTCATGTTGGACAGCAATGCTTTAAGGAGAAGCTTAACAATAAAAGGATTTACCTTGAAATAACTGAAATCAAATATGATATCTCCATACTTCTGCTGATCAGCCTTGTCCTTTAGTCTGAAAACACCAGGAATAAATTCGGAAAGTCTCAGAAGTTCTGCAATGATGGCATTTCCACAGGAAACAATCCGAAGAATTGCCTGACCACAGAGATTGTTTTCAGCCAGAAAATCCACCATTGTGGAGCTGTGTGTGACAGAGCAGCAGAAGTCCTGCAGTCTGATTCAGATCCTTACTCTTTAGGTTACTGGAAGCAGAAAGCCTGATGAAGAAACCAGCCACGCCATTAATAACCTGTAAAAACAAACCGACATACATCCAGAGTGGTTTATATTCATGTTTCTGATCATTTAATTTGTGGATTTAAGCATACTCTCCAATCCTTCAAAGTATGATATCTAGATTATCCACAGCTTTTAAAATGAAAAAATGCACAGAATTCATTTTCAGCACGTACACTTAGTTTGAGAAGTGACCTGTTTGAGCAGGCAGGGAAAGTGTGATCTTTTGAAGAACAGTTGAAGAACACTATTAAAAAATGAAACAGTCAAAAATAGTGAAGCAATTATGACCAGGTGAGGAGATTGGGCCCAAGGAAAGCAAAGCCACTTCACAGAATGTGTTTTTAAGATCCACTTTAAAAAGACAACCGAAGTGATCATAAGGGTTTTAGCAATAAGGAAAACTTTCATAGCAAATAGAAATTACAGAGCTCCGTTCATTATTTATTGCTAAAGGACGAGCTTCCATGCTGTGCTTGCATTTCCTGCTCAGTTTTATTCGTTCACGCGTCTCCTGCGGGACACGGCGTGCAGCGCCAAAAATAAGCGTCTGTGCTTCAGAAACATCTATGGAAAATTATGACCAGGCTTGACTTTTCACCAAACACTTTCTGAAGCATTACGGTAAATTTGACCGTGAGCTGTCCCAAGACAGTTTTGACCCAGAAGGAGCGCCCGGAGCCCCCCCAGGTCCCCAATGCCGCCGCAGGCTGCGCTCCGCAGGGCGCACAGCGGCTCCGGGGCGGCAGCGGCCGGACGGGCTCCGGACGGGCTCCGAACCCGCTCCGAACCCGCTCCCGTCCCGTCCTGTCTTGTCCTGTCCTCTCCTGTCTTGTCCCGTCGCGTCCCGCTCCGTCCCGTTCCGTCCCATCTCGTCCCGCCACCGCCGAACTCACAGTCTGCGCTCAGGCGGCCCCGCTCCCTCAGCGGCTCCCGCCGGCACACCCCACTCCCGCCCTGCCCGGGAGCGCCTGCGGGCAGGGACGGCGGCGGCTGCGGGCACAGGAGGATGGAGGGAGGGTGCGAATCACGGGAGGGAGGCGGCGGCGCTCCCTATGACGTGCCGAGCCCTCCCATCACATGACGGCGCCGGCTGATGAGGCGGTTCCGCCCGCCCCGGTGCCCGGTGCTGCCGCCCGCCTGCGGTTGCTGCGGGGAGGGAGGCGCGGGGCCGCCCCCGGGACAGCGGCGCTGCCGGGCTGCGGGGACGAGGTGAGCAGCGCCGCTGGCGAGGGTGGCTGTCCCCGCCGGCCCCGTCCCTCCGCGGGCGAGGGCAGCGCTCCCGGGGCGGCGGCGGGACGGGTGCGGGGCCGTGTGTCCGTGTGGGACCGCCCGGCCTGCCCTGGCCGGGTGAGGCGGGCAGAGGCCCCGGGAGCGCGGAGCCCGGCTCGGCGAGCTCTGCTCCCCAGCCCGGTCGTCTCCCTGTGGGCGCTCATCACCGAGTGTGCCCGGGCTGGACACTGATCCTGCTGCTCGGAGAGCATTTGACACCTGTGGAGCTGCTGTTACAGAAGCAAATGATACTTATTTCTTACCTCTGGTTCGTAGTCATTGAAGAATTCTATAGACTACTGTATAAGAGTACAAATTGAGATGTTGGAGAATAGAAAGTTTAGGTAATTTCCTTAAATATTTAAATTAGCGAACGGAATAGAAACTGTAGGATTATCTTGTTCTTTGTCGTGTCTGGACATTTCATCACTTCCTGAAAAAAAAAAAAATGTCTTCGATAGTCTCCCATTCAGCACGGAGTTTGCTGGTTGTGTTTTCCAGAAGTGAAGGGGCTGGGTGTTGCACATGATAAGTGCTTTGATGCACCCACTGGAGACCTTCCTGCCGAAAAGAGTGTGGTAGAAACACTGCAGTGAAACCAGTTCCATAGAGAAATGTGCCCCTCCCTTGGAAGGTAGAATGGACAGCTCCACTGAGCTGAGGAATTCACTTAGTTCAAGAGTGAAATCTTTGCCTTGGGATCTGTAGGAGACTTGAGGAGCAGTTGACTGGCTCAAAAGAGCCAGCTGGAAAGTGATGGGGAACAGGACCTGTAAGCCCTGGAGTGGCAGAGCACAGAAGATAAAAGCAAAGCAACACGTGTGCCAAACATGCTCTGCTGCCAGGGGTTTAGAAGCTGCTGAGACAATGCTGGATTCTGGGGTGATGGCCATTTACCTTTCTCTCCCCATTTTTTTTTCTTTCTTTCTCTGGTTTTCTAGCATACTCTTCTCAAAATATGTAAGTCAGATTGAAAACTTCTAGTGTCTTTTTGTGTCTGGAGAAGTTAAAGTTCGCTGAGCTAAGTTTGGGAAGTACTTTATTTTTGTCTGGATGTTTTAAAATTTGCCAAGTACCCTATTCTACTTGAATGTTTCAAAGTTTGGAAATAAAAGTTGTTGTTGAGTCTCCTGGTAATTTGGTTGTTTCTCCCATGCACTGCCCCGGGTATATCCCAATGCCTTCCTCTGAACCCATCAAGTAGGCTGGGGTATTATAGGATTGTAACAAGTTTCTAAGAAAAATAGCCTTTTATTTAAAAAAAAAAAGGAAAATTCATCTAAAAGAAGTTACTTTCCAAAAGACAGATTGAGATGAACCTGCCACTGCAATGATATGATTTAATGTCATAACCAGTAACTTCTGCTCCTGTGTAATTTGCTCATGAGAATGAAGGAGCCTTTTTAACTTTTCACTGTTGTTTGTATTTTTTTTTTCAGATTCCTGCTTTCACAGTGCATATCTGTGAAATTTCCAAAAGAACAGCAGGCTTCCTCAGTGAGATTTACCCAGTTCAAGAGGGGAATTAGGCTCTTTTATTAACTTTGATACACAAAATGGGCTCAGAAAGATAAAGCTGCTAACATGATTTTATGTGACTATTCCATAGTGTACGTTTGGATCATGGAGGTTCTATACAAACAGTCTTGCTAAGATGGCAAACAAGTACCTTAAAAAAAAGTTAAATAATATACTAGCTGAAGGATTTTGCTATTAAATCTTCAAGAGCATCCTTTTTCTTTACTTTCACAGAGTTCTATAAGGAACCTTTCCCTTGTCTTCTGTTGTCAGTTTGACAGCCTCTAAAGATCTCTAATGATAGCACTCACAGTCTTCTGTCAGGGAGAGCATGAGCTGACATAACAAGAGCTGTTGAAGCCTGCTGCATCTGTGGAAAGATGCACCTTTAGAAGGGGATAGAGAGGAAGAAAAATTTCCATGTAATTAAGAAGTTCAATTTGTGGTCGGTTGAACTGTTGTTAAAATGTTGCTGGAAGCACATGACCTAAAGATGGTGTACTAAAAGAAAGTATTGACTGGTCAAGCACATTTTATAAATGGAAAAAAGGAAAATGACTGGAAATAAACATTAAGAGACAGCAGGTATTCAGTCTCATAGTCTGCATTGTGAGGAATATGGCAATGTTCAGGTTAGAGGGAGCACAAGGTGTAGTTCTGGAGTCTCAGGGAAAACAGTAGAGAGAGGTACAGCCTTAGGTATACAAAGCTTGGGAAAAGCACTGTACTTTCTATTAACATATTTTCCAGATTGCTGTTGGATTATAGCCTATTAAAGGCTGTTATTGATAGAGCAACTCTTCCCCTTCTGGTATACCCCAATTATGTTTGTGGATTCTGCTCTCTTATCTCCCCCAATGGCATCTCAATATACTCCTTGGACATAGTAGTTATTCTTTACATGGAAAAATGCAGTATTTCTGTCTATCTAAGAGTTCTGCTTTGCTGTGTCCATTTTTCTTTTCTTTTTTTTTTTTTTTTTGGTGTATCTAAAGCTGATGCTGAGCATTTTTCTAGTCTGCAACTTGAAGTATGAAATTTTGCATACCAGGTTCATGTTATTCACGGTAGCCACATGTCTGAGTGGGTTATGGAAAAGCATGAAGAAGGAAGAGCAGAAATTGGGGATTTTTGAGAAGAAACCAATGGATGTGAGCAGTGCGGATAGGCACAGTATAAGCAAAAATATTTGAAGGTTCCACTAATGACAGAGCAACTAATCCCCACAAGGGTGTAGGCTGTCAGTGTGTATTGCAGATCCAAAGGGTGGTAAAGAAGATAAACAATGGTACCTGTGTGGCTTTGTTTTGTGCTAATGGAAGACGGGTACCAAAAGTTTGTAGCATCTTTGGTAGAAGTAGGCAGCATTTTTAAGGTGGGCTTTTATTTGGAAATGATGCTAGATGTTTTACTCTTAAGTACATTCTTAGTAGAGTGACACTTTGTTAGATTATTTTTTCCAAGGGCCAACTGCTGGTGAAACTAAATTGAATCGTGTTTCTTCCTATCCTAATTGATTATATGGTTAGATAGCCCAGACAAGTTTTTGGGCATGTGGGCTTTTTTGGATCTTCTTTTGGATCTGAAATAGAGCAGTAGTTTTCAAGCAGACATAATTGTGGAGTTTGAACTTCACTGTGGTTTAGCAATAGAAATGAGCTGAGGAAAACTGTTAGTTGCTTTTAGTGGTGTAGTTTTGCTTAATACTGAATAGGAGGTGAATTGAAAACCTGTGATGAATTTCATTGAAATTATCAACATCTTGGGAGCTAAGTTTTCATCCCTGCTCTCTAATACTTCAGTGATTCTGTTGACAGTGCTTTATGTTTTAGCTATCTATTAGAACTTACGTTTTCTCTCCCAAATTCTTTGTGTACAAACTGCTTTTAATTTGTTCTCCCTGTTATTTCTAGAGTAACAATTTCAAGATGTCAGATGGTCCAAGAGTCTCGTTCAGTGCAATTGATTCTGCTCTTTCTTCTTTGAAAAACTGCCAGTCCTTCATCAAGTCTGGGATGGATGTGACTACTCAGGTTGCCCTTGACCTTGTGGAAAGTTTCAGTAAGTATATTCTCTCTTGTATTGCATCCTGAATCTGACAGATGAGTCCCAGCCCTATGTATTTTGACTTAATTACTGTTAATATCAATCTTTATTATAGCTCTTCTGGCTTGGCCAGGATGTTTTCATTACAATCATTTCACTTAAATGAAAGATTTCATTTAAAAGATAAATTCAGTGAAAATGTAAATACCCGGCAAATGTTGTCCTTGCTTTTCTGACAGCCAAGACTATTTGTGTCCCAGTGATTGTTACCTTACAGCTTTGTAGAAACTTTAACATTGCTGAATGAGATGGAGAAGACCTCTCAAGTGGCTGAATAAAATGAGTTTTCAGTATCATACTGCTTCTTTGTGTGTGTTTTATTTGACATTCAGGGCAAAATATATTAAAATAATGCTAAATATGTTGAATACAAAGCTTGAGACACCTGTTAAGAGATGCAGTTTTTTTTAATGCTGTCTCTCCTGAAAATCAGGCCTTTTTTAGGTTGCTTCAATTTGGACATTTCCAAAGTGGGGTACTTTAAATCTCTGATTACTGTCAGCTGTCAGGTCTTGTCATTACTATTTCACTTTCAATAAAAGGAGCACTGCAAAGCTACTTTTCAAAGAGAAACATTAGCTGACCCATTTCCTTATCTTAGATCTGTGTTAATGTTTTCACTAGGGAAAAATAAAAACTTTAAAGCTCCAAACCCCTGATAGTTTTAATAAAGAGTGGAGAGGGAAGAGCAAGAATCTTCTGAAAGAAAAGCTCTGCTGTTCATTATAAATCTTGTACTCAACTAAGCCAAGGGTTACGTACAATCAAGATTAATGTTTTTCTCATTGTCTAGTGTGATAGTTCTCTCTCCTTTCACCTTTTTATCCGTACTGCTGTCAGAGACAATTGAAATGCCATTTCTATCAGGAAGAGGAAATGGAAAACTTGTCTGAACAGTCACCTGGGGATTCCCTTTGACGTAAAACTTGTGTAACCCCTTCCATTTCCCCTCTGCTTTAGCAGTCACCATCTCTCCTACTTTGTCATGAGCATTGCATAGAAATACATTGAATGTATTGAATTCTTTCATCCCCAAGACTGCAGAAGTGAATTATTTATACAAAAGTTGAAAGTTTTTTATTTCACTTTTCGGTAGAAGCCCCTGTTGCATTCCTATTGGGAAGGGTGTAAGGCAACATAAGCTCAACTCTGCAGGTCTGCAGCTGCAAGTCTGTGCCTTGTACTCCTAGGAAATGTCTCTTCCTCATTTACCTGCTTCTGACACATTAATCTTTAATTAAAATCTTGAAATTATTTTGTTCATTTAACTCAGTAACCAAAAGGACTGTTTTTTGCATTCTGTCTGGACAGGAGGAGATGAAATGCTGGGTTACAGTTATATTACATCATGTGATTGGAAAACAGCTCCTTCCTAGACCATAGCACATTATATTCTAGCAGAGGCAACTTTCCTGTTGAATCATGGTTAGAGAATTATCAAGCATGATCTATTATCATAGTACATCCCATTGCACTACAGCGAAGGTATTCCAGATTTGTAGGATTTGTAGGTATTCCAGATTTTGTAGAATTTTGGTCTGGTCTTCCCAAATTACATTTTTACCTACAACAGTTGTCTTCACTCCTACACCTTTCCTTGCAGATGTATTTACGTGGAATGAACAGATAGTGAAAGTCGTCCCTTCTGTAAGGTTTGGTTTTCATTCTCCTGACTACTCTGCTTTGACTTCAAGTTCTTGTTCCCCTTAAAGAATGCCATCAGGAAAGATACCGGGTTTCTGTGGCATGGCACGCTTTGGTAAACTCTTGGTGTTTTAGAATTAGCATCATCTGATCTTCTGGACTGGACTGTTCAGCTCTTACCTCCAGCTCATATGTGGCAATTTCTGTTTCTAAAGCTGTTGCTCATCTATCCTACTTTGCCTTCATGTTCTGAGGCAAAATACTAATTTAATTTTGAGACAGAGTTAGATAATATATTGATGTGTTCTTCTTTCTGTCTCATTTGTAATTTGCTTTAATTTCCTTTGCAAAATTTTACTGTCCAGCTTCTGACAGGTTTCATTGCTGGGCTTTGTAGAAGCAAGGAATTCTGCTGCAACTGTTTGTTTTAGTTCACAAGCACTTTTTCTGTGTGTGTATTTTGTTTCTTTAGTCTTTCATAATGGACAATGCTGTTTTTTGTGAACAGTAGTAAAGTACACAGCATAGTACATGAGAAAAAATTACATTGCTCATTTATGAACTTGTACAATCTCTAGAAAAATAAGACTATTATTGATAAGACTGTTATTAATAATAGCTAAATGTGTGCAGAATAATTTTAATGTATCTGATAATGAAAACATTTTATCTTTTAAGGGGTTTTGTTGATGTCCATGAAGTTAAATTCTTGATTAAGATCTCCCTGTCAATTGAGACCCTGCTGACTTTTAGCATTGAATGTTGGTGTTATGAACATGTGCTGGTAAAGAGACAGAATTTTAAAAGATCCTGGAAGGGTTTAAGGATCTAAAGGTGAAAGTTAGTTTCAGCAAACTGAATGTGAAACAGCCAATTTGAAAGCTCATTTTATTTAATGAGTGAAACAGAAAGATAAACCTTTGTCCTTCTTAGTCTTTCTGCTGATTATCTTTTAGATACTGACATTGTCTAATGGTTGCATTTTTCTTTTCTTTAAAGAACACTGTTGTTGTATAGAATCATTTTGAAAAGTTACTGTATAAATAAATGATGTAAGCAAAAAAACAGACTGTGCACACTTGGCTTCAGTATGTCCTGCCTATGCTCAAAATACTCTTGGATATTCTGTGGCCCAGGCTAGTAAAATACTGAAGGAGAGGACACACTGATATTTGTGAGTGGTCCACCAGCCTTAGGGTCTGAATATATTAAAGCTAAAGCACTTATATCCTAAAGCTTATATCCTTTGCTGGATTGGAGAACTAATGGATTTGAGATTTTGAAGATGACACTGTTCAAAATCAGTTATAATGCAAGTAAAATCCTCTCAGTTCTACTATAATTTGCATCTTCCTAAATCTTGTCTCATTCTGGTTTTGAGCTTTGGTAGTGTGATTGCAGAAAGAGAATTCATGAAAGTCACTTGTCACAAGTACTTGTTTGGCAACATCTCTGAATTGTAATGCTCTGAGTGTTGAACTTTGAGCCGTGTGTTGACACCTCTGCACACAGGGGAACAGCTGTTTGCACTGCTAATTTAACTTCTCTTGGTTGCTGAACTGTCTTTTCTTACCTACTTGGAGTAGTTCTGTAGACTTAGAAAGCACTGATGGACATCCATGTCAAATACTTGAATGATAAGTTTTATTCTCTGTTTTTGGAATTAGTGAAACCTGCAATTCCATGTTGACTGATGAGCTGATTATGGAAAGAATATGCTGGCCCAGGACAAATCTGTAGTATCCATGACAGACATCCATTCGCAGCTTTACTCAAAATTTTTGGATGTAATTTAGTTAGCTTGCTGAGGATGGCAATTTCAGGTGACTCTTCAGCAGAACTTTCTCAAGAATATGGGATTGTAAAGTGTGGAGAGCTGTGCATATTTGAATGAAGAAATCTAACTCATGGTCATCTCCAGGCTTCCAGTCCAACAGCTGCTTTTTAGATGGGGCATTACTTTAGTCTGGGCTGGAGTCCAAGCTGGGAGGATTGTCCAGTACAAATGGGAAATAATTGGGAGGTCTGGAGAGTATACTAACTACAGACAAGATAAACATTTCTTAGCTTTAAACTTATGAAAAGCATTTTAAAGAATGAACACTTAGGGTTTTGTCTAATTAGCTGAATGTTTTTTCTGTAGAAAGCAAGATCTTTCCTTGATGTCTGGGACATTCTTTCAGCCACACATCACTTTCCCAGTGTGAAGCGTAGAGGCCATGAAATGTGGAATAGCTGTTTTTGGGAAGCAGTTACTGCAGGTGAATTCTAATCTTACTTGAGGAAAGAAAAAGAGCTACCTTTTCTTCAAAACTTGATGAAAATGTTATGGTCAGCTGCTGCCCATGGCTGTTTGCCATCTGTATTACATAGCAGTGATCTTCCTGTAGCAGTATCAGGATCTGCTTGAGAATTCCTCCTGTTTTCTTACCATCCTTTGAAGGGCTTTTCTGCTCACCACTGTGTACAGAACAGGCCCAGGAGTCTTAAAAATGTTGGTGATACAATTCTTTGGCACATTCCCCAGATTAAGTTAGAGTTGCAGCTCTGGGTTTCTTTCTTGTCTGGTTACATTACATAACCTGCTTCTTCTGCCAGCAGAATTTACCTCAATTCTGTCTGCTTACTCCATCTGTCTGTGTCCCTGTCCCAGGGCTGCCTCTGCACTTTTCTTCATGTGTGCAGCATTGCATCTCATATGTGCCATGTCCTCCTTTTCCAAATGCTTTCTCATCTCCAGTTGATTGAGATCCAGTGTCATCATGTGTGTTCAGTACTAATTAAACAGTAGTTGATAATGCAGGATCTTCTAATCCTGTGAGATTACCCACATTACTTTGACTTATATCACTGCTCACTTAGAATGGTTTTAAGAACAGCTCTAAACATTGCTGAGGATTGTTGACATAGGAAAAAGTGTGAAGCATACAGAAGTGGCAGTTAGCCTTGTTTTATGAAATTATTGCCAGCCTTTTGATAGACAGTTGGATGAGTTTATATGGAATAACCACTATTTTTTGGAGTAACTTTCTAAACACATTGCAGCAGCCTAAAACAGTCAAACTTGAACATTCTAAGTTTGTTCATTCCTGAGAGAGGGGCCCTTTCCATGTAAGTTTCTCTGTCATTGACCTACAACTTCTACTTAGAATGGTATAGAGTCCAGTATGAAAATGGACTCTGCAGCTGTGCTTGAATATCAAATAATTTGGTTAATTTGTTTTCTTTGTTCCTTTTTTTTTCCTAGCTTATTTTTCCTTGGAAATTCAAATCCAGGATTCCTGCAATATCGTACCATAACATGAATCTTG